ACCTCTCTGCCCTCCAGCACCCACGCCATCTCCCGCCGGCACTGCTTCGGGGGGACCACAAGAGCTGGGCCAGTACCAGCAGGGCCAGCAGGTAGTGCTACCCTCCGCAGCACGGACATACCTCCCGCTGCAGCAGAGCTCAGGCCCCGTCTCATCTCCCTGCGGTCCACTTCCAGGTGCTGCCCAGACAGTTGCTGCCTGCTGCACCATCTCTCACTCTGCCCAGCCCTGTCTGCTTCCCTCTGGCTGGATCAGAGCAGCGCAGGAGAAAAAACCATGTCTGCTCACAGCACTGCTCCCTCTCAGGCACGGTATTGGGGCTACCCGCTGCAGCAGAGCTCAGGCCCCGTCTCATCTCCCTGCGGTCCACTTCCAGGTGCTGCCCAGACAGTTGCTGCCTGCTGCACCATCTCTCACTCTGCCCAGCCCTGTCTGCTTCCCTCTGGCTGGATCAGAGCAGCGCAGGAGAAAAAACCATGTCTGCTCACAGCACTGCTCCCTCTCAGGCACGGTATTGGGGCTACATCTTTGTGAGCCTACCTGCCTGGCTAGCCATCAGGCTGTGCTACCTGTGGTACTGCCCTGCAAAATCTCCCCAACGCTGCGTGCTCAGTGCCTTATGCACATTGCAAGCCTGCTACCGTGCCCAAAACAGAGAAGCTGAAGTCCACAGACTATGCGACTCCAGGCAGAGGCACTCCACTCAGACGAGGGCATGTGCGTGCAGAAGAGAGCTGGTCTCCGAGGTCAGTGACTCTAAGGAAAGCCTGTACCCTCCCTACTTCTGCCTGGAATCAAACAGGATGGGCTGCAGCCACCAACTGCTCCCCCAGAAGAGACAAGCTCCAGGAAGGAAGGGCTCAGGGAACAGCAGGGGTGGAGAAGGCGGCCCCAGGTACAGAAATAAATCGATATATTAGTGTACAAAACATGCTGCTTCCTCTGTACAGTGCCCCAGCCGGGCGCAGGCTCCTCACAGGGAGTTCACACATATATAAATAAGGCCCAGACAGCTGCAAACAGTATTTACAGCCCGCGGGGGGCTAGCGCCTGCTCTGGGGCCAGCCCCACCAAGACCAGCTGCTACGCCCAGCCCGCGGGATCCTCCATCCCAGCCTGGACTGGCCAGGTTCATTTCAGGTCCACATCAAAGTCCAGCACCAGCAGCTTGGTCTCCTCCGTGCCGTTGCGGCTGCCCACCGCACACACGAGCTTGGTGTTGGAGGCGCGGATGCGCCACACTACGCCCCCACTGCCCCCACTCTCTAGTGCAACCAAGTTGCGCACGAACTCGCCCGTCTTGAGGTCCCAGAGCTTGACGGTACCATCATCTGAGCTGGTCACCACAAACTTGGAGCTGAACTGTAGGCAGGTCACGGCACTCTGGTGCTTGCTGGGCCCTGGAAGCAGAGGGTACCCGTTAGTCCTCCTGCGCTCCCACCTCCAACCCCAGGCTCTTCAGGAGCACCCACTGCTGGGCAACATCTGCCCTGCCCCTGCCACATCTGGCAGCTTGGAGCAATGTGACCCCTCTCCAACACCCCTAGTGAGGGGAGCCATTCCATCCTCCTGCACTCACCCTGCAGCGTTTGCAGGCACTGGCCCGTCTTGATGTCCCAGATCTTGACTGTGGAATCAGCATTGCCAGATACAAGGATGTTGTCACGTAACTCCATGCCACTCGTGAGCGACTGGTGCCCCATGAGGGTGTGTAGGCAGTTCCCACTCTCAACGTCCCACACTCGAATCGACGTGTCCAGAGAGCCACTCACGATGTGTGTCCCATCAAACTGCCCAGAGAGACACAGATCAGCACGGCCTGCCCAGAGAGGGGAGGAGTGTTCTTCGCAGTCTGGTGTCAGAGACTTGGGGCATGGCAGATTAAGTGATGTGCTCACGAACCCTTTGGCTAATCAGGGTGCACAAGCGTTTGGCAGCATCTTCCCTCCAGAAAACAGACACGGGGGGTGTGTGTGTTCCCGCAGTGCCTGCGTGTGTGGGGGTCAGGGTGGAGGGGAGAGAATGTCTCACCTGCAGGGAACAGACGTGGCCTGTGTGTCCCTGCAGCACATGCATGGGGTTTGGGAGACAGCTTCTTACTTGCCGAAACAGGCACGGCTTGTGTCCCCGCAGCACGTGAGCAGGAGGGAAGGGGGAGCCGGGGTATTACCTGCAAGGAGTAGACGCGGTTCGTGTGTCCCTGCAGCGTGTGAGTGCAGCTCTCGCTCTCAGGGTCCCACACTTTCACTGTGTAGTCGTATGCACCGCTCACCACCTTGTGCCCGTCGTACTGCACGCAGCGCACGGCAGCCACGTGCCCCATCAGCACGTGCAGACATTGCCCAGTCTCGATGTCCCAGAGGCGCAGAGTGGCATCCCGTGAGCCACTCACAACCCTGTGGGCAAGGGTGCGTTTGCAGCCCGATTGTGTTGACTCTGGACCTCGCCCAACTGAGATAACCCCGGACACAGGAGCTCCCCCAAGGAGTAGCCCCTGTCTATCCTCCCCAGGGATACCTCTTCCCACACAGCATCTTTCAGCTACGGATCAGCCCAAGCCCTGACCACCTCTGCACTTTCGCCTGCCCTATATCCCACGCCACAGACTGGCCCAGGCCCTAATGCTTCTACACCTCCACTTGCCCCATTCCAGAGACCAGACCAGGCCCCAAACACCATCACGCCCATACCTGTTCCCATGCAAGTGCATGCAGCGCACTGTGGACGTGTGCCCATACAGCGTGTGCACGCATTCGCCTGTGTCTGCGTTCCACACTTTGAGTGTCCGGTCTGTGGAGCCGCTGATGACAATGCTGTCCCTCATCTGGGAAGACCACACACCCCCTGTGTGGCCAACCAGTGTCTGCACACACTGCAAAGAACAAGATGCGAGACACTGGTTTGGGAAAGGCTGAACAACACAGCAAAAAGGAAAAGCAAAGTGTAGGACTTCCTCCAGGCAAGGGATCGGTAAGGCGCTTCGGGTCAGCAATCCACCTCCCTGCAGACTCAGGCCCCCACCACAGAGTCCTCTCCGTGATAACGATCACTTGCTGTTCTAAACCCAGTCGAGTTTCTTGCCCTTCCTGGATCTGCAGGAGGGTGGTCCACACTTGCCGACTGCCACTGAAAACACGCGTGTGGCCAAGTCTTGCTCATTTGTTACTGCACCAACAGACTTGTAGCTTAAGACAGCTCTTCCCACTGCTCCTACAGCCACAGGACCTATCAAATCACTTTGCCAGAGACAAGATAAACCCGCCTAAAAGGCCACTATGCCTCACACCTCCACCCATTCCTGCAGCAACGACTCTCGGCGTACCAGTGGAGCAGCCCTATGACGTGACTATGGACAACAGCTCACCTCCCCAGTGACAGCTGACCACACTTTGAGCGTATTGTCATCTGAGCCACTGACTATCCGGTTGCCACAGAACTGCAGGCAGGTAATGACATGGTCATCGTGTCCCTTCAGCACCTGCATGGAAAACAACATAAGTAAGGAGGGAGGTGAGGGCAGCCCAGAGCCCCGGAGCCTGCGGAACCTTGGGCCTCGAAAGCAGCCTTTGAGAATGGTGGGGAAGCAGCAAGTGCTGAGGGGAGGAAGAACCGAGGGGTCCCTGCAACGCCTGCCACCTCCCTGCCGCTTCTCTGCGGAGCAGCAGCTACAGTAGGAGCCGGGGGAGGGGGCGGCATTCGGCAGCTACGGCTGGGAGACAGCGGGCTACCCGGGGACTCCAAAACATGGGTGGACCCTTGTGGCTATTAAGGCTGCACAAGCTATCGAGCTCAGAGCTGATGCTCTGTCCTAGATCAAAAACTGGTGGCCATTAGCCAGAGCACATTCAGGACCACCAGCTCCAGCACGGTGGGAGGCAAGCAGCTGTGCACCAGCCGCCACCTCCCCAACAGGGTGATGCAGAAAGAGGGCAGCAAAGGCGGGCAACGACCGAGCAACATCCGCAGGCGGGCAGAG